CGCCTCGCCTCCCGGTACGGGCACCGCCGGCCCGCCGCCGAGCGCGGAGCCTGGCCCGGGCCCGGCCGCCGGCCGCGCTAGGAGAGAGAGAGCACGCGTGTCTCTTTTTCCAAACCATAATTTTACTGTCTCAAAGAAACTTTATAACTTATGTACAAAGATTTGTGTGTTTTTTTGTTTTCTTTCCTTCCCCGGATACAAAGCAATAAGTTAACATTCTCAATATAAAACTAAACTTTGACATATAGAACACTAAACACAGCCGAGCTCAGTTTATCACATCTTCCGAGTTTCACAAGTAAAATGTCAAGATCTCAGTACACAAAGCATCATGTTTTACAGCCACACGAAACAGAACGGAAATAATAATAATTAAAAAAAAAGGCTAAATTTGTGCAACATGTTTACAGAACAATAATAATAATAATAATTAAGAATAAAATATGTACAGCGAGTAGCTCCTGCACGTCGGTTTGTGCATTTCGACTTCGGGCCGGCTTTCCGCGGGGAAGCCTCGCCGGGGCTGCGCGGAGCTGCGCGGGTGCGCCCGCCCGCCGCCCGCCCGGTGGGTCCCCCCCCCCGCCGCCGCCGCCCTCGGGGCTCTCGTTCCGTCCTCCGCGCCTTGCTTCACCTCAGCAAAAGCGCTCGGCAGCTGCTGCGATTCCACTTCAGAGTACCAAACAATGTGCATTTATTTCCTTTGTTAAATACGCGAGAAATGCAAATCATTCAGACCAAACCTCTCCACGCCAGCGAAGTATAAAAGTTATTGTAAAAGTTAAAAATCGCATCCTTCTCTTGTGGTGATTTATTGGGGCGGGGGGGGGGCGGGGGGTGGGGGAGCCGGGGGTGGTTTTGCTTAAAGTAAACTGTGCCGTGTCCGAGCAGTGCGCTCAGCAAGCCGGATTGTCCGTTTGTTTCTAGCACTCTCATAGTGGTAATTTAAATCAATAAATAAAACCCCTGTCTTCCCCTTTTAACAACAACCAAAAATACACAGATGGATAGTGAAAGGTACAGAAAATGTCGAGGGAAAGCAGCTCTGGAAATTGTACGGCTTCCTTCCCCCTTGCAATTGAAGAGACCGTCAGATCGGGGTAGTAAATAAATGACCTACATTTCAACAGACACAGACAGACAGACAGGACAGAGGAGAGGGCTTCCCCCCCCCCCAACATCTTTTTCTGATTGTCCCACAAAGCCGCGGCCGGCGCTCGCTCTGCTCCCAGGCTGTTGTGCGGTGCTCGGGGCCGCTCCGTCAGCTGTCAGCGGTGGGAACCGGCCCGCATCACATCTGTGCTCTCCTGCACCGAGCTACAGTGCAGCGTCCTAATGGCTGGATGGGCAAGAGACCTCCTGTTTGTTTGTTTGCTTGGGTTTCTTTTGTGTTTTTTTCCTCTCTCTCTCTTCCCCCCCTCTTTTTTTTCCTCTCTTTTTTTCCCCTTTCCTTTATTGTACTTAATTTCTTTTTTTTTTTCCGTAATAATTTTAATTATTTTCGGGACCGATAGTGCTTGCGGTAGGGGAAAACGGGTTTATAATCACATCAGCTGCGGCTGCTGCATAGCTTCTTGGTGGGCCGAAGGATACCACGACGTGTAGCTGGGGATGTAGGTGCCCGGGGTCCCCGACGAGGCCTTACCGGAGGCGGAGGTGGTATTCCACACCGGGGGCACCGGTGGCGAGCTGCCCGAGAGAGCCCTGCCGTTGGTCAAGGCGCTGCTCTCCAGGGCGGCCCCTCCTTGCTTCATCAGCTTCTTGAATTTGGAGCGCTTGTTCTGAAACCAAATCTTCACCTGCAAACGGGAACGGGGCAGGGCTCAGCATCCCTCGGTACGGTCCAGCATCCCCCCACCCCACCCCCACCGGCGTCCGACGGACCCCCAGCTTTTCCCCCTTGTCCCCCCCCGTGGCTGCTGTGCCCGTTGCCATTTTGCGATGCCAAACCACCCGGGAAGATTCCCCCCGCGTCCGCCCCGCCGCGGAGGCTCAGCCGGTGCCGCGGAGGCCCCCTCGGGCTCCGTTGGAGCCGGTCTCCGTTGCCCGCGGCTGTGACCCGTCTGCATCACGAGTGGGGTCTCCCACGCCGGCGGTGGGAACAGGGAGAGGACGCGGGAAAGGGGCCGGCTCAGTCGGAGCTGTACCTGGGTCTGGGTGAGTCCCAGAGATGCTGCGAGCTCGGCTCTTTCGGGGAGAGCCAGGTACTGGGTTTGCTGGAACCTCCTGTTCAAAGCCTGCAGCTGCAAACTGGAATAAATAGTCCTGGGTTTGCGGATTTTTTTCCCTTTCCCATTAAAGCGAACTTCCCCTCCTTCTACCACAGTGCTTTTCTCCGATTCGGCCCCTACAAACAACAAACGATGCAGAATAAATAATAATAATAATAATAGCAGCAATAGTAATAATAGCAGTAACAGCAATAGCAGCAGCAATAGTAACAATAACAGCAGCAACATCAACAATAACAATAATGAGAAGGAAGAAAAGTGAAGCTCGAGTAACGCTAACAAAGGCTCCGGGCGATTATGGCAGCCCAGGCTTCTTCCCAGAGAAAGTTTGCTATTTTTGCAGGCTGCAGTTTAGGTTTAATTACCCTTAATTGCATACATTGTTTATAGCGCTACGCAATAAATAATTACGAAGACTAATACGTGCACATCTGGGTTGATTTCTTTTCCAGCCAGGCATTGTGTGCTCTGTGTACTGCTCCCCTGTGATCCTCAGCCTCTCCTGACTAATATTTCGTAATTTAATTTAATTTTTCCCCCCCGATAGATTTTTTTTTTGATACAAGCACCCTCCCTCCCTCCTTGCCTTCCCTCCCCCCTCCTCTCCCCCCCCGCCTCCCCAAAGCCGAGTGCACCTACCTGTCTCCTCTAACCGGGTCTGAGTCAGGCTGGAGCTGTTGGGGTAGGACTGCACTGAACTGATGTAGGGGTTGGTCGAGTGGCTGCTGACCGAGTTCACATAGGGGTAGCCCAGCGGTCGGGAGAAGGACGAAGCTGTGCTGTACGAGCTGTCAGGCTGAGAGTGGCCCGCGGAGTGTAAACAGTGCATGGAATAGTGTCCGTGGGACATGGGAGAAGGAGACATTTGCTGGCTGGGCGGCCCAAACTCCATAAAGACAGCCTTCCCTGAGACGGGGCTATTTAGACTCTCTGGCATGGTAGTCATGGTCATTTCTTGTCGCTTGGTCTGTGTGTGTGTTCTCTCTTCAGCTTGCCTTTTTGGGGTCTGTTGTGTTTCTCAGGACAGGAAAGAACCCAATTTAAGCGGAACAGGGTTTTTCACTTTCCATTCATAAGAAAATGGAGTTTGTCTCTTTGAAAAGTCTAAGCATGATGCTGTAGATCTACACAAACTCGCCTAAAAGCTTTGACTCAGCCAAGCCTATGAATATTCATGAGCTGGCGGAGCTGATTGGTCCGC